GAAGGAGTGAGGGAGGGAGAGAGGGAAGAAGGGAGGAAGGGAGGGAGGGAGGGAGAAAGGGAGGGAGGGAGAAAGGAAGGAAGGAGGGAGAGAGGGAAGGAGGCTTGAGCCACAGGGGCAGCACTGGAAAGAAGGTAGGCAGGAGAGGCCTGGAGAAGCAGTAGATCTTCATGATGGCTCTGCGATAGCAGAAGAGTGAGTCGTCTAGGGACTCCACCCTAGGCCTGCTAGGCTCTCCAGCTAGGTTCTTGGGGTAGTTGTTCCCTTCTCCAGCTGCGGAATCCCCAAGGAGAGGCAGGTGGCACAGCAAAGCCTAGTGCTGGGACATGATCCATGAGAGACACAGGCTTGGGAGAGAGGACAGCAATGATACCTGAGGCTCAGAAGCAAGGTCCTAACTGTGGTTTGCAGGACAAGGTGGGGGTACTGGAGAGCCTGGTCGCTGCTGTGCCCCCACTTACCGCCATCGGGTGCTGGTCATGCTGATCTCTGCTTCCGTGGCCCCTTCTTGCAGCACCAGTGTGCTTATGCTCATCTTGTCCTTGATCCTCCTCAGCCACGGGCAGGTGGAGCCCACCGCCAGGTTGAACCATTTTCCATAGATCTAGGAGGAACCGCAAGCAAGGATCTGGATTTACCCAGGGCCTTTGAGAAGACACGTCCACATTCCCCTTCTCTCCTCCAAGGGCCAGTCCTTTCAGGGACAGTGTATTCGGTCAATGGCGCAGTTCCAGGTACAGCAGTTAGGGCAGAGGTCTGCCATGTCCCCCTCCTTACACAAGGCCTACTCGACAGATTTAAAGTGCCTGTGATACCCCTGTAGGCAAGTAGGGTCCAGACCCATGCTCTGAGATCACCAGCCACCACCGCTCAGGAGTGTGAGGCTTGGGTTTTATAGTTTCCATAGCAGTGCCGGCCACTTTGTGAGACAGCTGGGGAAGTGCCGTGGAGACACTACAAACCTGATAGGGCCTCTTGGCCCCGTTCAGATGGTGCTGACTTTCCAGCACAGCTGGTCCTTGTCCTGAGGTATAGCAATCACTCGGAGAGTTCTGAGAGTCCCGCAGATAGACCATGGAGACAGGATCTCCCACTCCTATCACTTTAGGATTCAGGAAAAAGCTGGGGCTGCTGGCACTACAACACACACACACACACACACACCATGCATATACAAATATTGGCACATTCACACAGACACACAAGTACCCAGCCTGCCACAGGCCAGGGTGCCCTTAGTCTCATACTTCCCAGTTCCCCCAACCCCATCAACCCGTGTCCTGCTTCTCCTTCCATGATCTCACAGGCCTGTCCACAAAGCTCACAGGCCCGTGTCCATCCTGTGCCCTCTGGGAACCCATGGGACAGGGCAGAGTGGGAAGACTTTGGGCTCACAGGGGGCCTGACAGAATGGCACTGGGAGAGCTGTAGTTTCAGAAAATTCCAGAATAACCTACCTAATAGTCAGGCCAGGAGGCCCCCTAGGGTGAGATATTGTGTACAGGATGGGAGAACGGCCACCCCAAGACACAGAGGTCTTGGCCATCAAGGCCCAGTGGCATAGACATGCCACCACTGTGTCTATCTCAGCCAGAGAAGTCAACCTTACCCGGGACTCGCTGAAATTCTCCTGAACCTGGATGTCTAGGTCAGCCCTTGAAGCCACACAGGCAGCCAACAGCAGGAACAGGGTCCCGAGACCCTGCATGGCTCTGGAGTCTTTAGCCTTTGATGTCTCACAGCTTGGTGGAAGCAAAGAACAACTTCCCTGCCAGGAGTAGCTGCAGACTGAAGCTGGGGAAGGGGCCAGAGGCAGGTGATGACCTTAGTGTTTGCTCTGCTTAGCCAAGGCCAATCAGGGTCCTGGGCCAGTTCTAATCGATCCCTGTAGCCTGGCCCGGACCTAACTCTGTGGACAGGGAGCACGGCTCCTGACTCAGAGGGGACATTGACCACAATAAAGTTCAGACCCTAGAAAGGCTGCCTTGTAGCTCTAACTCTCCCCAGGGAGCACAGGGGATGGGGGACTCAGGCAATGGCTGTTTCCTCTAGTCTCTTCCCCTCTACCTCATGCCAGTCAGCTACTAGGTACAGGTCGCCTGGTCTGGCCAGTTTCTCACATGACAAAACCGAGGCCTGGGGAAGGGGCTGCAGCACAAGACCAAGTCCTGGCATCCTTCCCCATAAGGTTTTTTTTTTGTTTTGTTTCGTTTTTGTTTTGTTTTTTGTCTCCAGCTTTTCATATCCTTTAAGATAAATAGATAAATTTAACAAGGAGGGATGTGGTCCCTTCCTGAAGCCACACTGGTTCCTCACAGTGAGAGTATCAGGATCCAGTTGAACCCCACATCCACCTCAGAAGCCTACAACCACCTTTCACAGATGTAGGTCATGAGTATCCCAGGAGTGACAGGAATGATGGGGGCCGCACCACGAGAAAGGGAGCACCTGGAGATCAAGGGCTGAGATTCTGAAGCCAGGCAGCTTCCTGTGATCTTCCTGCTGTGTGAGCTTGGAAAAGTTGCTGAGCCTCTGAGGGCTCATTTCCTCACCAATAAGCAGGGACTGGGGTGAGGGTTAAAGCCAGTGGACAAGAGACTCACAACCTCTGCAAAATGTATGTTCGTCTCGAACCACAAAACAGGATCCCACTTTTAGGTGAGATTGGCTAAGGCAGGCAAGTTTGAACAGGATGACACATTTCTTTCGTTTAATTCCTAATGATTTGAGTCTTTTGCAACAGCTGCCCAAGGTGAGTAACACGGTACCCATTCAGTGTAAAACAGCAACCACAAATTTTTCTTGAGACAGGGATTTATACAGCTCAGGATGGCCTTGAACTCCATTCATAGGCAGAACTGCTCTTGGATATCTGGTCCTCCTGCCTCTGCCTTATGAGTGTCAGGATCACAGGCATGCACTACCATGCTTGGTTTATGCAGTGGTGGGGGTTAAACCCAGGGCTTGGTGCATGCTGGGAAATGACTTTACCATCTGAGCTCCATCCTTAGCCTCTTGATTTACATATTCTAAAAGAAGTTTTTTAAAACCCTCATCTGTTTGTCTCCAGAACTCAAACTTCTGTCCATGATCCCATGATCCCTTCTCACATGCTCCTCTCTCCCCCAGGGGTTCCAGCCTCCCTGCTCTCCTGTGGCAGATTCCTGCATGCAGCAAGCAGTCCCTGTTACAGCTGACCCCTGAGAGCAAAAGCTCTGGAAGAGTCAGAGGGCCTTTCCGTAGTCAGTGCCTGAGCAAATGGTGCGCCTTGTCCTTCTGTGAGGCCTGACAGACACACTCCCCTTTTGCTAGTATCCAGAGCACATATGTCCTATTTATAAAGGAGAGGGTTTCCAGTGCACCATAACAGACAACTAGTCCGTGCATGTTATATTTATTTTTATTTTTATTTTTGTTCTGGTTGCCAGAAAGCACAAAGCCTCCATAAACAGTTCAACACAGCAACTGCCTTAGCTTAACTTTCAGGCATAATTACCTTCTTTTGTGTTCCTGATTCTCAGACTTAAAAAAAAAATGTTTATCAGGCTGAGAAAGAAATCAAAGAAACATCACCCTTTACAATAGCCACAAATAACATAAAATATCTTGGAGTAGCTCTAATAAACAAGTGGAAGACTTGTATGACAAAAACTTTAAATCTTTGAAGGAAAAAATTGAAGAAGACACCAGAAAATGGAAAGATCTCCCATGCTCTTGGTAAGTAGAATTAAAATAGTAAAAATGGCAATCTTACCAAAAGCCATCTACTCATTCAATGAGCTCCTATCAAAATTTCAGCAAAATTATTCACAGACCTTGAAAAAACAGTACTCAACTTCATATAGAAAAGCCAAAATCCCAGAAAAACAATCCTGTACAATAAAGAAACTCCTAGAGGCATTACAATCCCTGATTTCAGACTCTACTACAGAGCTACAGTACTGAAAACAGCCTGGTATTGGCATAAGAACAGACAGGAGGACCAATGGAACCAAATAGAAGACCCGGATATCAATCCACACACCTATGAACACCTGATTTTTGACAAAGAAGCAAAAGATATAAAATGGGAAAAAGAAAGCATATTCAACAAATGGTGCTGGCATAACTGGATAATAACATGTAGAAAAATGAAAATTAAAATAAAGCAACTCTGAGATTCCATGTTACACCTGTAAGAATGGCCAAGATCAAAAACAATAATGACAACTTATGCTGGAGAGTATTGGGGTAAAGGGAACACTTCTGCATTGCTGGTGGGAGTGCTAACTGGTACAGCCACTTTGGATATCAGTGTGGTGATTTCTCAGAAAATTAGGAAACAACCTACTTCAAGACCCTGCAATACAATTTTTGGGTATATACCCAAAGGATGCTCAATCGTGCCACAAGGACATGTGTTCAACTATGTTCATAGCAGCATTGTTGGCCATAGCCAGAACCTGGAAACAACCTAAATGCCCCTTGACTGAAGAATGGATAAGGAAACATGGTACGTTTACACAGCAGAGTACTACACAGCGAAAAATAATAATGACATCTTGAAATTTATGGGCAAATGAATGGATCTGGAAACATCATATTGAGTAACCCAGACCCAGAAAGACAAATATCATATGTACTCACTCATAAGTGACTTTTAGACATAAAGCAAAGAAAACCAGCCTACAATTCACAATCACAGAGAACCTAGACAACAATGAGGACCCTAAGAGAGACACACATAGATCTAATGTACATGGGAAGTAGAAAAAGACAAGATCTCCTGAGTAAATTGGAACATGGGGACCATGGAGAGGGTTGAAGGGGAGGGGAGAGGAAAGGAGGGGAGCAGAGAAAAATGTAGAGCTCAATAAAAACAATTAAAACTGGTCATTTGCACGTGGAAATAGTATTGCAGGAGTATGCATGCCACAGCGCGTGTGTTGTAGCGGAGGCACACGTGGAAGCCAGAGGACGACCCGCAGGAGGCAGTTCTTGCCTTCTGCCACGCGGGTCCCAGGGATGACAGCAAGCCCTGGCCCACTAAGCCATCTTGGCAGCCTTTCACGCTTGGCTAATGGTGGGCACGTGGAGGTGAACTGAGAGGGAGGACGGAGAAGCAGAAGCAAGGCGTCTTGACTCCTTGTCCCCTGGGAGCATGGGGACAGCTCCCCCTCCTCCTAACCTGTAAATGAGAAAGCAGAGTCACTTGGAGGACAAAAGAGGCAGATGTGGGCCACCAAGTGGATGCTGGAAATTGAGCCTGGGGCCTCTGGAAGAGCAGTGGGTGCCCTTAACTGCTGAACTTTCTCTCCATCCCCCAACACGACCTTTCTGACCTTCCTGGCAGGCTGCAAAGCCTAAAGCACTCAGCTCTGATCTCGGACTCTTTGGGACCAGCCTGTACATACAGAACAACCTGCTGTGGTGAGGGAAGTTGGGAGGGTGGCCCAGGAAGTTGATTTACTCACTACTCAACATGCCCATGGGTATAAGGGGGGGCGGGGTGCCCAGAGGATGGCCCAGGGTGGCGATCTCTCCTCTTGCCCCAGATGTTTGTAGTCCTGAGATTATTAACCAGAGCAAACAGAGGGGACACTCAGTCAAGGCCATCTGGACTTTGAACCACTTTTAAACATTAACAGGGGCTGCAGGGACAGGAGACAGGCAGGCCTAGGATCCCATCCTCTCTCCTTCGTTTCTCAGAGTAGGGTGTGGACTCTAAGGGCCCTGCCCTCCCTTGTGGCCCAGAGTTCACAGGAATCATCAGCATTCTGGGACGATTTGAAGGTGGAGAGGATGTTGCGTCCCCAGGAACCTCAAGGATACCCAGTACAGTGGACATTAGATGAACACACTGGGGAAGGGCCTTGTTCAAGGTCACTCAGCTTGTGGCCCTCGTGGGACCCCCAAAAGCCGATACTCCCATTCTCACATCATAGCCATTCAAGTATTCATTCTTTCTAGCTTGTCACTAGGGACAGAATAGGGATCCTGACTGCGTTTGAGAAGGAGGCAGGCAATTGAGGAAATAACCTAAGGCGGGGTATAGTGATGGGGAACAGAGGCCAGGGGAGGGTGACTCAGGCCTGAGTGCACAGGGGCGTGAGGTCCCAGAAGGGAAGTCATTTCATCAATGGGGACAGAGTCACAAACGTCCCAGAAGAGGAAAATGGAGAGAGAAATGAATTTGAGATACAACAAATAAATAAATAAACAAACAAACAAATACCAGGAAGGAGAGGACTGACTACAGCAAGTTGTTCTCTGGCTCCTACACTCATATGCACACATGTGCAGGCTTATAAAATAATACATGTGAAAATATTTCCACTAAAATTAAAAACATGCCTAAGATGAGATCTTGGAGGACAGAGGGAGTGGCTGGGCTGTGGAACTGGCAGGATTGCCAGGCCTGGGGCTTGCTCCTTGCCCTGGGGGCATGGGGTTGCTTATGTTCAGAAGGTGACAGAGGTCATATCTGGGGTCAGGAGAGATCAATAAGGGGACAGGAAAGGAGTTAGGGGACCGTAAGTGTTTGGGAGGCTTCCAGGAAGAGAAGCTATAACTGGACCAACGGGGACCTCAGGGTAGGCGCAAGGCCAGTGGGTGTTTGCAGGCTTAGGGTGGAAGGGCATGGCAGGGTGGAGGCCCTGCCCGCTGGCCTGCCACAGGCCCTGGCCCTCCCTTCAGAGCTGCCCGAGGGAAGTGCGGGGAGGGGCGCTATGGCAGTGGAAAGAGGAGGTCCTTGCTGCCCAGCTGAGCTCCACACACTGCTTTTCACTCCCCCACTCTGTGCCCAAGAGCCAGTTCAGGCTGGTGTTC